CCACCCCTCTACTAAAGCTAAATATATGCGAATACCTGACATGTTTTCATATTACATATTACCCACATTCAATCAGATCTACGCATATGTCAACTACAATAGGTTGGGGTCATCGAATGTTGTCAAACAATATAACACTGAGCAGCCGCCATTACCTGTATTCACTGCCGCCCTGGTACTTGTTCGAGTTTTCTCCAAGTTCTTCGCTGCTAAGCTTCCAATACTCAAAACCAAGAAACGAGCAACACCCGAAAATCGCGATCGCCATGAACAGCATGAGAATCCCACTGTGACTCGGACGCATAATTAACGGTAGCAGTACACGTCGAAGTTGTAAAGTGTCCGTGGACCACAGTCTCGTTAAACGACTGTCACAGAACCACAGTCCAATCTATTATTAGACCGAGACTGAACGTATCATCGGCCCGTGTAATAACTAGAATCTTATCAATCACACACACCGGCCTATGTAATCGATATTTGTAACACTCCTGGACGACCACGCACACTATGTGGTATACAATATCACACAAATCGACGCGCCGTTTGCCATATACTAAAGTAAACGAAAACTAATATCACGCCACTAACCACTGGGTATTCCAACCTTGATGACGTCACGGTATTGTAATGTAGTCAAATTGAAGGTCGGAATTACCTCAGACTACTATAGAATTCTATAGAATTCTATAGTAGTCTGTGGACTGACCAAAGCCCCAGAATGAGGTATATGGACTAAAGTTACTACAAAATTAAATCAGAATTAAAATTCAATGTAGGTATAATCTCCAATTTGTTTGTATTTTTTTAATAATTTTTATTGTTATTTATTTATTTATTTATGAATATTCTTTTGGTTTTACTTGCCATTATTAGTTTTTTTTTCAAAAATCGTTCAATGCATGTGGAATTCTTGTACAAATCTCCAGTAAGAGCCAACCAATCAGAGCACGTGTTACAGACTCCTCAAAATGTACTGAGGAGAGAAACAACAAACAGCCGGAGTCGGCTCGCGGTGATTAACGATTGCTGACCTGTATCTTCATTCGTTCTCTAAATTAAGTTATTAACATGTAAGTAATTTTTTTATCAGGTTTCTGCCACAGTCTAACTGTGTTCAGTAACCGCGTCTTGTTCTACGTTTCCTAATTGGCTAAGTGTGTCAACGTCAACGAGTACAAAATTGTATATGCCAGGTGGTTTGCCAAATGAAACTGTTCATACAAATTTCTAGATGTTTTTTTTTTTTTTTTCTGTAGGCTCAGGATAAACGAAACACCGCACTGCGAAACGCAGACACACTATTGTGATTTTGTTATTACACTCACGACTGCATAATGACCACAATTCTCAATGTAATTCCGACCCAACCAAAACAACTTGAAAAATGCCATGTGCTAAATGTGGAATGTAAATTAAAAAGTTACTCTGAAATAAATAAATAAAATAAATATTTATTCACTGCAATGAAATGTGTTTTCTGAATTTATAACATCTTGGTGTGTTTAATAGATCAGTCTTCGTTCGTGCATCAGTCTATTCCATGAAATGAGATATCAAATTACGAGTTTAATATATGTAGTCTTGTTCTTTCCATATGCAATGAATCAGATGTAGACCGGATATGATATATAAACAACAACTAAATAACAGCAAATTATAAAAAAAAAAGTCATAAATAAACATAAATAAAAATAATTTAAATGTATATATAATTTTAAAAAAACACTATGTCTGCATCGGCTTTTAATCAGACTGACCTACCTGCACCTGTAGCGTGATGTTTTACACACTCCTACAGAGGCGAGTTTTCGCGGGCAGTATTTTTAGTTTTAGTTATCCTTTTTACTCTTTCAGTTCCATGTTGTGGGATTTATTTCATTTTCGGTTTAAAATGCTATTTTCAGTGCTATTTATCCTATTATTCATTTACATTTGAAAGTTCCAGTGTGTTGTTGAGAGGCTGGAAATAGTTTAAGCGGTGAAGAGAGAGAGAGAATTATTTAACATCCAAATGAAAATTACCAGTATCTAGTCTGTGACCGCTTTTTAATAGTTTACTAGACTTTTATTGTTGTATACAATCCTGAAACCTTCAAAATCGTTGATAATATATAAATATACAATACAGCAAATGAAAATATTAATAGATAGTTTGATTTCCAAGGCAACAGCTTGAACAAGACTATAATGGGAATGGACACATGTGCACTTGTATAAAATATAAAACACAAAAACGACCATATTCATGAATGCAATTGACGTTGGTGTATTTGTTATGTCTGATATGACGTAAATGTTAGACACATGGCCCTACGTGGAGTCGTAGCACGCCTTTACTATGAAGTTTGACAAGTAATACAAACTCAGACGGGTAGTCGTGACTATTCATGTAGGTAGACCAGGCGAGGTCGTCAGTATAGTGCATTGGTAGCTCGTTCCCTGCTGCGTCAGTCGCAAACGGCCAGAACCCGTACAGGTCGAGTTCTTCACATATCGTAAGCCCTATGGTCACCAAAAGCATTCCTGAATTTGAGAAGAAAAGACAAATATGAAACGTCATTGTACTCTGCAGTGGTTCCACGGCGCCATCTAACCGTGCTTCAAAATAGACCATTTTCCGTTCACTGCGAGAATCACGCGTTATGCGTGAAATCGAACGAAAAAACAAGACAAACAAAGGTCATAGCGTCGTAGTCGCGTCAAACATCGCGTGGGATTCGACAAACGCGAAAGTATTTCGGGGACATTTCCATGCTTAATAATGTGCTGTCCACATTTGATGATAGGCAATTTCGATTAAGTAAGGGTATTCGGAAGCAATATTCCTCTGTCGAAAATCGGCCGGACAATGTAAGCTACGAAATAAAGAAATTCTAGTTCAAAATCAATTCGTTCGATTTTTGCGGCAGACGTTCGACGCGCGTCTTTCATGCATCTCGCGAGATCTCGCAATTGTACGGAAAATCACCTATTGAAGGAACTTTGGACATAAACATGTATAGATAACAGACTTCACCTTTGCTTAAGAGTCAGAAAATTGAATGTTAGCCTGACAAGATCGCGTGAGTTATGGCCCCTGCGGTGCTACAAACCCAACACGTGACAGTATTAGGGTTTGATGCCGTTCGGCCAGCGAGGGCGCCATTCACGTCTACATGTCACGCTAATTGAATGTGACCACCCGTGTGAAAAAATATTTTGTATTTTCTTTATATATAGATATTTTATTATATA